GCCTGAAAATGGCCCTCGTTTTCAGGCTTTTAGGCTGAAACGACACAGGGCCTGTAGGCCCTCGTTTTCAGGCTTTCAGGCTGAAACGACACAGGGCCTGTAAGCCCTTGTTTTCAGGCTTGTAGCCTGAAAACGACACAGAGCCTGTAGGGCCATTACTTTCCTTGTTTGGTCGGGCCTTGCAGGCCCGTGTGGATGCGCAGTATGCCACACTATGGCGGACTACTAAGGGCCTTGCCCTGATGTTCAAAACGACAACGCAAAAGCAGCTATGTCCACTGCTCTTCAGGCTGCCATGCCTGACTCTGCCTTGAAGCCTTCTTGGTGCAGCGCTACCCCATCTGGGGCCTTCCAGATGCAGCGCCTAACAAGGTGATAAGATGGCGTCCACCGTAGCCAGGTAAGTACCCCGCCACTCTCCACGTTTGCCCCTTTCTTCCTCCTCCTCAAGCTGGGCTGCTCGCCATAGCCAGGGAGTGCCCAGCCCTCCTTCTTCCTCCCCAGCAGCACTCTGAGAACCCCTGCCCGCTCAAGCAGCATGGCCCCCAAACTTGCATACCGCAAATGAGGAGGAGCTACTCACTCCTCCAGGAGATATAGCAGCCAACCAGCCTCATGGCTGGTGACTTATAGGCGGCGCGGCCTCGAAGCTGCCGGTACCTCCTCCCTTTCGTACAGAAATTTCATTGCAAGGTCTGATTCGTACGCACAGGCCCTTGACTCAGGCTACTTGGACTGGTACCAGCGTACCTAGGCCTACTGGTTGCTCGGCCTCTAAAAATCCTGACTTTTTGTCTTCTTCTGGTAGGCCTACTGCTACTTTAATGCTACCAGACTAGCCTAAGAGTGGCCCTAAGAGTGTTTTTCCCCACTGCAAAAGTCACGGCCACAGGTAAGTACCAGGCCCGAGGGCCTCACAAATACACAGTACCCTGGGGTGTCACGCACACTCAAGCACTCAGGCAACCTGACAAACACGGAAACTAGCAAACACACTCACACATGGACTTAGAAATCTCAGCACCTCAGCAGACACAATCCAGCGGGAAAACTCAGAAATCAGCACAGTTCTTAGTCTGTAGTGTTGCAGGTCATTACCTTGGTTGTGTTGTCTTGCGTCCTTTTTTTTGGTCTGCTGTTGAATGCCCTGTTAGCGGAGTTCTTTGCTGTTAATTTTCCCCAGTGCTTCTGACTGGTGAAATGCAAGCACATTTTGCTGCATTGCAGAAGCTGGCAATATCATCAGATGGCCCCCAAAACAGAGGCGATAACAGAGGAGAAGCCAGAGATGGATAAAGATGGACGGACGGGAGATTGACAGGGAGTAGGCGAGGTATCTAATGAGAATGGATGGGCTGTAAGAAGTCACAAAAAAAGGACATGGTGCAAGCAATGGATGGAAACCGATGGCAGGCAATGCCCCTTACACCAAGGTGCAATTGATGCTGACAATTCTACTGATTGATTCTATTTTATCTACTACATCTGCTACATCTACTACATTTGCTACATCTACTACATGTACTACATGTACTACGTGTACTACATCTACTACATCTACTACATGTACAACATCTAGTAACATCTAGTACATCTAGCACATCTAGTACATCTAATGCATACTCGTAAGCAAGAAGCGGCAACACGTAACGTGGCCTGGTAGACCCACAGAAAAGGAGGCCCACAGCAGGCACTGGCACTTGTGCAGTTTTGATTTTTTCCAGTTCATTTTCTTTCTGCCGTAGGCTTGTGCTCCACAGGCTTAAAGCGGGGAACGGCTTTTATTGTGGCCAGGCAAACATCCCTCTCTCCTCATTGTCACCCTTTCTGTATTCATTGTCGTTCTTTCCACCCTTTTATTTGTCTTATTCGTTTGGTGGTTTTCGTGTTGTTTTTGGTCGCACATCAGTGTTGCACACCCCGACGGTCGGCGGCCCTTGACTGGTCGGCTGCCGACCCGCCGACCGATCGGCTGGTCGGCACCTAGCAGTCGGGGATCATCGGCACCCCGAACTTTTTTTTTTTGGTTTTTGGGATCCAGAACCCCTAATAACCCCACCCACACCCCCATAGCGGCCCCCAATACCCACATACACCAACCTAACACTCCCGAGCCGCCCCCAACATCCTTATTAACCCCCCCAATATCCCCTATATCACCCCTATACTCCGCCTATACTCCAACCCATACCTGCGGCGTATCGCCTGCACGCGAGCTCCGCACGTGCGGCGCATAACGCACGTGTAAGCATGCACGAGCACGTGATGCGACGCACCCCACTAATTAGGATATAAAAAAAAAATTGGAGAAGGCTGGCTGAGGTAGCCAATGGTGCACCTCCCCACAGAAAAAAAAATAGGGCCCACGTATTCCTTGTTGAATAGTCTTTTTCGCGGAGGACCCCAGCTGTACATATGCAAGGGTCCCAACATCTCAAGAGATGTTCAGCAAATTTCGTACAAAAGAAGAGCAGGCCAGCAATATATGTTCTGGATCCGAAGTCAGGTCTGCTTTCGAGCAGTTATGGGTTACAAGTTACAACTACTTACTACCGTAGCTCTCTCTTTCTTTCGTTTCTTTTTTCTACGAGCAGTGGCCCTAAGGGCCTTGCTCCACTCGTCACCAGCACAAAAGACAAAACATATGCGGCGTATGTGTTCCATGTTCTAGCAGAAGATTCATTCCTCTCTTTCTTTTGTTTCCTTTTCCTACGACAAGTGGCCCTAAGGGCCTTGCTTCACTTGTCACCACTTGCACAAAAGACAAAACATATGGCGGCGTACGGTTCCATGTTCTACAAGAAGATTCATTCTAGTTTTGCACATTTTTAGTGGAGGGAAGCCCTGAAAAGCACGTGGTGAGTTGGCCTGCTATTGCCCTGAAACTCGCGTGCTCGGTGGTCCCATAACTGCTGAAACACGGACCTTAAAGTGAATCAACGGCATATATACTTGGCGTGCCATACCTTCAGCATGGCTATGACTACTACCTCGTTCATGGCAACGTGGCCCTTGCTGATTGTGTGCAGGGCCCTCTCGGATACCCCGCAGGGGGTTTGAAATAAATATTAATAAGGAGCTATTTGTTTACATTTTCCCCCCTCTCTCTCTCTCTCTCTCTCTCTCTCTCTCTCTCTCTCTCTCTCTCTCTC